GGAAGCCAGACTTAACAACTGTGTTATTAACTTAACAATTGCGATGATTCACTTAACAAGTATGGCAAGAAAGGTTGTAAAATAAGGCAAAACTCACTTAACAAATATCTTGCTTAGCCACAGAAATTTTGGGCTCACTTGGGTTGAAAGAAAAGTCTTCATCCTGATTCATCCAAGCCGGGGATAAATAAACAACATGGCAGCTGCTTTAGAAAGAAGGTTGCAGTATATTGAAGAGCCAGAAAGATGGTTCTTGCAGGAAAGAGGAGAGAAAAAGAAGGCCGAGCACATGTGGGAAGTAGGTTTGTATAACCTCTGAAGCCTTTTGTTTGGAATAGTTTCCTGTTCCTGTTTTAGGCTTTGTATTTCCCGTGTCACGTATTCTGACCTGAGTCTGGGTGTGCCTTTCTGGTATTCTTGATGGTGATGGGTTAGTCCTATTATCATATCCTGCTTCCCTGGTGATGGGGCTAATGATTCCTAGAGTTTGGGTGGGGTATGCAGATTTTAGGTGTTTTTGTCTTCTTGATCTCCTAGCTGGGGCCTTTCTGATGGTTTATATCTGCATTTGTACAGGGCTGACTTCTGCTTGGGACAGAGAGACTTGGGGGCAGGGTTGGTTTCTGCTTTTAAAATCCTTTTGAGGAAATATATTTTTCTGCCCTTTTAATATTTCCTTCTGGGGGGGGGGCTGACTTCCCTCAATAAGTTGGAGACTAACCGTATTATTCATCTCCTCCCCCCTTCCTTCCCCCTTGCCTCTTTCATGTTATAAGGAATGCTAACAATAATAATATTACTCTTACTGTTAGTTTCAGAAAGAAATAATTTTTATTTGCAGATTGCTTGGTAACTACTTTGAAATTTTCTTTTATTTTATTTCAGATTTATTTTGAAGATTCTCCTTTTGTTGCATACAGTATCCTTGTGGAGTAGATTTGGATGAATGATTTATCAGCATAATTCACTCTAATGAGCTTTATTATGAGTGGTGATTCTTATTTAAACCTCCAAGGCCATATCCTTTACTCTTAACTTTGCCCTAATTCCTATGATCCATGACATGCTAATAGGCTTCAGAAAGAAAAGCAAGGTAATCCATACATTTTATTTCTCTGTAGATCGTCCACTATTCCACTGGTTTTGCAGATGTTTCCAGCATTTCTTTACTAGCTCTACCTCTTTATAACTGACTACCTCAGCTGTTCCCTTCTACTATTGTAGTGACAACAATAGTAACTGGGTAGTATCTATGCTTGTTTCTTGTTCTCCCTCCACCTTCTTCATGGCTAGGCTGAGAAGTAGTGATGGGCCCAGAGAAATTCAGTTATCTTCTGTGACTGAGGGTGAACTTAAAGATGGGTCTCCTTAGTGCCAATCCGGCATTTACAAGACTATACCACATGGTTCTTCATGTGGTTGTTATGTCCAAGGACTATCATACAGTAAACTACTTTGAAAACCAGTTTAAATAAAGCTTGAGATAAAGTGCTTAAAATAAGCACATGAAGAAATAATGAGATGCAACTTCCCATAACACGTCGTTCTATATACTGCAATCTAAACATTTCATAAGAGGAAGAAATCTTATGTACCTTCTTCAAACTTTTTGGCAATTTTGAAAGATGCAGTCCCAACACAAGGCTGCTTTCCTATATCTAGTCGGTTTGTTGATGCTTTTAGCAAGGTTAGATTCTGATAAACATCACATTTATTTGGGATCAGAATAGCATTTGGGAATAATTGCCTGAAGTAACTCTTAGAACCCAAACTCAAATCTGTTTGGATAATCTATAAATATTGATTCACTTCACAATGAGAACTCATGACAAATTTAATGCTTTAACTTGCCCTTGATAGTCTCTTTTTAGGCAGCCTATTTTATCCACTTATTTATTTAATCCATTATTGAATGAAATGCAACTTTTCCTTCAATGAAAGAACAATTACTCAAGCATGGGATGAGTTCAATCAGAAATGAAGAATAATTCATGAATAATAATTAGTGTTCATGCTTTCTCTTTTAGATTGCCTTAATGGAATTCATCTCTGCAGTTATTTTAAATGGGAATTTGCAGAAGGCATCCTGAACTAAAGGATATTATCATGGTCATTTCAGCATGGGTTTTATTTTTCCTGTTAACTAAATTTAATAAGCATACAGATTTGATATCCATTAAGAGAAATGACTCAGAAAGTAATGACTATGACCAATTCAAATACCTCTAAAAAAAGAAAGGATTGGTTCTAGGGAAGGCATTTCATGAATTACAGGATTTCTATCACGTGGAAAATGCTGCTGATCTAGCAGAGTTTATGTTGCGTAGAAAGGAGAAGAGAAAAGGCAATTGTCATCATGCTTCATGAGGACCATGTACCATGTAATTCTAGGAGGACCGCTAACTTCTGGAGCAGATTTTTAAAGTGGTTGAGCCAAACTACATGGCAAGGAGAGCTCAAAGTTTCTGTGTTTTAACTGCATGTTCCAAAATGAATCAGTGCAGGAAGAGTTTTGTCTCTTTATGAATTCTTTGTCTAAGTTCACCTAAATTCAACACAACCTCACTCTAGAGGTTATTTGTGTACATAGTTTCCCATTAGCAGTTACTGCACAAATTATACAGCGTTATCTGAAACTAAGAATTTCATGTCTCAAATTTACATTGTATTAATGATTCAGGCTGTGCTTAAAACTGAGTCTGTATAAACAGTAGCAAATATCTGGAACCATGTCTAAACTAGACTATAGTGTCCTCTAGATAAAATTTTGTCATGCCAGACCAGAGTAGCACATAAAGGATGCCTGGGTATGTACACCAGTTATTATACTATTCCAGCCCCATATAATTCCCCTTTAGTAAACAGTCTCAAGTTAGTAAGACAGAAAGCTTTATGTCTTCTTTATAAGCTTAAGACATCCAGTTCACATCTGAAAGTAAACATGGGCTGGACTAGTTTTCTACAATGGTACATGGGAATGATCAGGATAGACGAGGCTTCAATGCCTTCACCATTACAATTGGATGTGCCACAACTATGCCACTGAGACACTATTACTGAATTATTTCTGAGCAGCAGAAGTTCTCAGTTATTATAAGTAATTATTTAACTTAAGGAATCCTAGTTGCTGAATTATAACTATGTCCATTTCCAAATTCTAAACAACGAGTTATTGTACCCTGTCCTACTAACTTAACTGGAAAGATTAAACTAGGGCAAAATACATTTTATTATATTTTCACACATGACCAGTGATGTCAAAAAAATTAAAAAGGAAATGTTTCCATTCTAACTTAATCCTTAAGTATTATGACACAATAAGTAAGTAATCTAAACATGTTTACATGACATTCAGAAGGGGGAAAAACCCGCTGCAGCCATTTCTATGTTAGAAATCAAAGACTTCTGCAAATTCTTTATGACTTTACCAGGCCAAAGAAATAATTATTCCATATTTTCTTGTACCATGTATACATTCCTATTAATAGCACAGCAGGACATTCACAGACAACATGTTCAAAGAAATATTGCCCATTACTATTTCAGAATCCTTTATTTAAGAGCATTGAACAGTTCTCTAAAACAAAGCTAAACAACTTTTTAAAATAGATTACTTCATAAAAGCAAAATATTGTTACTAGCATTTCCCTCTAAATGACTGTGGTGTTCAACACCATCTTTATGTTATGTGCTCCTGGCTACTTTCCTACGTGACCAGAGGCAAGCTCGCCTGACCAATAACCAGCCAAGACACAGTGTAGGCCTTTTGTTTGGTTTATTGCAATAAGCGGGGAGAGAAGCTATCAAAGCATGGTTCTCTCCAAAGTTTCAACCTAAAATATTCCTTTCTTTATACAACCCTGTCCCAGCCGTCACATCCCTCCTCTTTCCCCATTGGCTGAGGTACTATGAGGTTACACTCCTACCTATTTCCTGCTACATACTAAATCATACATCACATGTACATTAGTAATATAAAATATTAGATATATTCAATTGTTGGTTTTGAGTTCTGGGCCTCTTAGAACGATAGGTTCTTTCCTGTTTTGCTAGTTATCTTCTCTTACAGCTCCTTATCCCATTCTGAAGACCCAGATAACAATTTTTCATACATCCTTCCTTTATGCTATCCTTTCCTGGTTCCCATCCATTATAGTTTTTGGTAAGCTTGTTTGTCCAGGCAGTAAGTTTCCACTGCAGCAAATTCAATTTTAAATTTATCTTTCAATATTAAATTTTGAAGACCTTTCCTTTACTTCTATCATTTACATTTTTTTTAAAATCTGTTCTTCAAATTATGAGAGAGAGAGAGAGAGAGAGAGAGAGAGAGAGAGAGAGAGAGAGAGAGAGAGAGAGAGAGAGAGAGAGAGAGAGAGAGAACAGCATTGTGGGCCAACATGATAATTTGCATTGGTGAGTAAATGGAAATCTGTGCAAAAAGGAGTTTGCACTCAAGGAAAAGGTTCTGGAGCCATCATTTTGTTCTTTCTTGTTCATCCAAAATGACCACAAGAAGGATGTGTGCAGGCACTTTCCTTAAACCATTGTTTATATAAGAGCCAGTCTGGTCCAATAGTTAAGGCACCAGGCTAGAAAGTGGGAGACTGCGAATTCAAGTCCTGCCTTAGTTATGAAAGACATGCTAACCACATTCTGTCTCTAATGCCAAGAAGGATGGGAGGAGTTAAGAAGTAGAGCCACTAACTCTACTGACATTCTACCCTCTGGACAAAATACACAGCTCATCACCAGTGATGCAGATCATAAAGTTATTGGCAGCACAATGTCAATAATGCTAACCATTCCACTCCATTTCAGCATTGGAGAAAGATGCGAGTATATGGCATGGATCCAGTTCCAGATAGTGCAGTGAAATTCCCTGTCTGGAACTCTGGTGTGCCACAATATAACAGTCTTGTTTATATTAAGGCAGGCTTCTATACTCCCAAAGCATACCTCCATTGTCCACAATTGTGGCATATGTTACACAAAAACTGAAAAAGAATTAATGATGCATTCTGATAAAATCATAGTGTTTGAGTAACTGACTTTCAGATAGAAGTGTTATATACAGTATAATTTGTTATAGATGAGTAATCAAACATTACTTTGTTGTAACAACATGGTTCTGCGTTCTCTCTCCCTCTGATCTTCCTTTCTATATTGCTCTTCCAATTTTTGCTTTTCAGGGTCCGTACTATATAATGTACAGCCGATGCTTCTTCTGATCAGCTCAAATTGACTAAAATCTGCAACGTATTTTCCATTCTGTGAAAGAGAAATCACAGGCAGAAATTCAAAACCCCAGAAAATTTCCTCTGGAATATATGAGGTTCGGCTCTGGCATACAGCACTCGTGGATTCCACTGTGGCATTCAAAAGGATAATGAGTTCAAAATCCTTTTCCTTTAGATTTTGGGGTGTCAGGTCACTTAAAGGACTGCTGTCATCCAAAATGTGGTAAAAAGTCAGAGGTAGAATCAAGAAAGGGCTTTCTGACGATGAATCCACATGGAATTTGACGCTAGCTTGGTTTAGCAGAATCCTTTCTCCTTCTTTGGTTTCATAGGTCTGAAGAAGTTTTCCAGTTAGCTGGCACTGAATCAGGAGGCTCTTTCTCATATTTGCTACACGGATTACAAGGCACAGCTGTCCATTGTGTTTGGTTATGACAGCACAATGACTGAACTTAATGGTCTCAGCTCTTTTTTTAGGTCTAGCAATTTTGGCCAGGAAAGTTCCAGTAATGAAAATCTCAATCAAGGTAGTGAGAACTAACTGAGCCACCAAGAGAAATATGGCATGAGGACATTCTTCAGTGATAACCCGGAAGCCATAACCAATGGTTGTTTGGGATTCCAAAGAAAAGAGAAACGCCCCAGTTAGCGAATCTACATTCATGACACAAGGGACATGTTTTTGAGAGTATCTGCTCTCTTCCAGATCTCCATGAAGAAATGCAATGGCATAGTAAATGACGCCAAACAGAAACCAAGTCATGATGAAAGTAGCAGCAAATAATGTAAGTTTGTATCTCCATTTCATGTCAATAACTGTGGTCCACAGGTCCTGAAGATAAAGCAGGTAAATACCATCTACCTTGTCAATCCTGATATTGCTGTGACCACTTTTAGACATCACACGAGGTTTGTTTCTCTTCATTTTAGCACTGATGTTGCCCTTGACTAGTGAGGCTTGTGACATGCTGATCTGTGTTGTTTCCATTAACTGTTCTTCAGACCTAAAGAGAGAGAGGAGGAGGGATAATAGTTACTGTCTAAAAAGCAGCCCAAGATATTCTGATAATAGATGCCAAAACTAAACTATGGAAATTGCATATCATCCACATAGGTAAAATGATTATATAATAAGAATATTATAAATGAAATTTGTCACTGGCAACATGCAATGAAGTGAACAGAAAGTAGCGGCATCGTTTTCTGCTTCTGTGTCAATATAAGGGATAAGTCTTTGCTTTAACAAAACAATCCTATTTACAATTCTGAATTTTCTCATATTTATTAGGCAAGACAAGAAAATAATTAATTAATAAACCAAACTTGATCTACTGATTTACTTTTAATTTCCCAGCCTCATTCTCCCCCAATCTGTTCTGTATTCTGCCCCCGCCCCGAAAATTTTAAATAAGCATTTTGATCATGATTTTTACAAATCATACTTCACACAAAGTGGGGTCAAAAGGAAAAGAAAAGCTAGCAGCTTTGTAAGTGCATAGAAAGAAATCTTTGAACCTGAAAATTCTTCAAGGCTGTTTTTATCATGAGCCTCTCCAATTTCAAAGACTCAGCGGAAAACAGGAGGTCATTCACAAATTCAGCTTTCTAGCACTAGGGCCCATCCCTTAGCAAATACAGAAGGCATTAAATGGAACCAAAAAAGGACACAATATCCAGAAGCAGACAGTGGTTACGTAGCATAAAGCAAGAGCAAAGTTAAGAGGAGTTCCCAATAACAAAACTTCCTGAACTTCAAAAAAAAAACAAAAAAAAACCCACACACACCCTCTGAACTCGCATCCTTTGTACTCTGGCAGTTGTTGATGATAGTATTATTTTGTTCCATTGTTTTGCTTCAGGAGAGAGCTTTAATAAGTAGTTCATTTTTATGAAGCACAGAGGGGGTGGGGAAAACATACTTGTCCCTGGTGTAACTACTTAAAGAACATTTTTAGAAACCAAATATGAATTTGTAGTAGGTATTTCTGCCAGCCCATGATAACAGTGTAATTATTCATTAGTGCAACTTTCCTGTTTTGTCAGTAAAAATATTTATGTTTGCACCCATAACTGAATAACTGCTGGCAGGCTGAAAATAAATTAACATTTATTTTTACTTCCTTGAACAGCTTACATACAACTCCTGAACCTCAAAACAACCAAAGGAATTGAAGTTCTCTGTAAGCATGACTGCAAAGTCAATATGCACACCCAAAGATGCACACTGTGCAAGATATCCAGATAATAAACCGGAAAAGGAGATTCAAAATCTTAGTGCTGCAGACACGAACAATAAAGAAAGGGAGATAGCAACTTATTAGAAATACTTTTTGGAGAAACTAATATTGCAGAGATTAAAAAAAGGAAATGTATCTGAGAGAATGACGTGAAAATCATCATAAACAAAATATTTTAAAAACTAATATATGGCACAGCAAATCAAGAGAATTCACTGTCTTGCCAGATTTTGGACAGAGAAAAACGTCCCAGGAAATTTTCAAGGATGATTTTTTCTCTCTTCTTCCCAGGTCTTGTTCTCCTTTAATCTCTAAACTCAGCTGATCATGGGTGATTCTCTATTAACAAGTCACTGTATGGATCACAAATATTTGGGGGGAGGGATGAGAGGATGTTTCTTATATGACTATCATTCATAAATGTCTTTATCAATGAAAGGCCAAAACTTGGAAAGTGGTACAATATGAACCCGTAGACAGCTTAGAACATTTTCTTTCAATATTTGTAACTTTCTCAAAGCTACATATTATGCTAGGAATAACTACAGCTAGGAAATTTTCACTGTGACGAAGAATTTAATTAATATCTTTCAAGAAGAGGTAATAATTACCAAAATTGCAAATTTCTTTGTAAAGGGTGTGTGTGTTAATTATTATGGAGAAACTAATATTTTTTTCCTTACTGGACAAAGGCTATAGATATCCCTGCTGTGCATGCAAATTATGATGGGTTCAAATTCCTGGCTTTTCAAAATAGGCCTGGAGCAGACTGGAGTGCAATGCCTAGAGATCTTCTGCCAGTCTGTAGATAATCTAGAACTAGATGAATGAAGGTAACTGTCAATGTTCGTATAGTCCTTGGTATGTAACTATTGAGGTGTTCATAGAAACTCCTGCATTTCAATTTCTCCATAGCTTGTTGGCACAACAATATCATGAAACAAGTTTAAAAATAAACATACAACAACTTTAAAAAAGAAGCCCCTTTCCTTTCAATGTCATTATTAAGCATGCCTAATTTTGTAAATCTTACATTGCCTTAGGAAGTGATGTCTGTCAAGAAGGAAAAAGTTGCCCTCATTTCTTAAACTCTGATTCCAGATGTTGTCAGGCTGAGCTTCAAAGAAGATTTGTTGAGTCTGAGACCCTTGAGGGCTATAAATCAGCCCATGTTAATTTTTTGAGGTATGTGACAAGTTGGCTGAAGATTTGTGAATTTCCAAGATAAGACAAAGCAGTTTCCCTGGATAGCACTTTGAGTGCTATAGCTCCAGGGTCTCTCTCTTACAAATTTTAAAAAACCTCACAAGCACCAACAGCCTGTCCCCGCAAGACCTAAAAAGATAACTGCCTTATTCTCTGTCAGTCTTTCTCATCCCACTGGTCCAGAGGCTTTTTTTCTCACCATATTTCAAAGCAGTCTCTTTTCTATTACCAGTGTTCTAAACCTATGCATTTCTGGATTTTGACCTATAAACATTTAAGTATTAGAATAGCATCTCACCAGTCCTTGGTGTCTTCCTCTCTCCATTTGTGTTTCTTTATTAGGTAACATTCATGTATCAGTTTAGTCACTTCCTTTCATGTCCTGGAATGGATCCCATCCGATCCTGGCCTCTTGTATTCCCCTGACTTCCTGCATTCTGTTTCTTTCATCATCTTTCTTCTCACATGATCCTGAATTCCTGTTGTTTATAACTTAAAACCCAAAGAAATGCATATAAAGAATTCCCCTTCTTCTCTCTGCCATTTTTATCAGATTAAAGGAGGGTTGCAGGGAATGCTATACTGTCATGATTATTGGATGTTCATTTCCAGTGCAATGACAGTTGCCTATACTAGCTGTACAAGAGGAAAAGACCCTGAAGCACGTAGTAAATGTCTCCTCTGAAACAATCCCCCCCCTCCACCTCCTTCCTCCCAATTTTGACTGACTTACGCCTGGAAGCATGAAAGATCACATTCTTTCCAAACCTCTGCTTTGTTTATTCCTATTTCTCTGTCGTAACACTGGGCATTCCAGCCACTTCTATAAATGTGGGTCCATTTCGGAATCTTTTCAATGCCACTAACACATGGTGGGTCTATGTGTTCTCCAATCCAATTTTGAGGTAAGATAAAAAAAACTTTTTAAAATTAAAATTTTCCTGTCATGAATTGTCAGATGCACCCCCTTTCTGAGATCATGACATACAGAGAAAAGAGAGAATGGATTTGACTTTCCTGCCTCTAACTATCTCCTATGGTTTATATGGTATAAATAATGCATGTCTATGTGGGAAATGTTTCTTGAAACTTACAAAGCTGAGGAATCAGAATGTTGGAATCAAGTTGATGTAGTTCCTATAACTTCTGAAGCAAGTACTGGTAAAAATGAGTTTTAAGATGAGTAAATGTTATATGAGGCTACACCTCCATGTGCATTCATTGTATTTGCAGGAAAGGGACATGAAAATGTTATTAATTGTGGGTTTTTCTATGACAGTTTTACTTCCTATTCAACTAGTATGACCAATAAACCATAAGATGTAACAGCTCAATGACTTTTAGAAGCACCAACATTCTTCCCATTCATCTCTCCTCCCAAAAAACAAAAAACAAAAGATCCAGTTCCCAGAGAAGACAAATAATCAAGATGGAATGTTATACACCAGGAAATGTATCCTGAGTTTTTGTGTTGCTCAGTGGTAGGCTCAACAACTTGTGTTTCAGATAATTGCAATTAACTTTAGGAAGGTTTATGCTGCAAGAATATTCTTATCATGTTGATTTCAATGTTTTAAATATCCTCATTAAAAATAATCTAGGCTTCATACATCTCTAGAAATATGTCCCTACTTTTCCTTTACCAGCTACTGTACTAAAGATAGATTTTGAATACTGTAGGTTTAAATTCAGAACTGGAATATAGGTACTTCCAGAGAGATCTTTCTAAAAGACCATATAAAACTGATACATAAAACTATATTTTACACTTAATGGGGATTCTAGGCACAGAGTATTTAACTAGCAAATCATGTTGATGCTGCATGCCCAGTCTGTCATCATCAATTATTTTCTTTTAATGAATAGGCTTGAGTTAGATATACTACTGGCTTAAACATTTAGAAATATAGTTATAGCCAGACTCATGCCAAAAAAGCTTACATATACAGTTGCTTATTGATCATAAAAGTCTGGTATGTTTTACTGTTTTTGTTTGTCTGGAATTTCTTTTACTGTGTTTGATGGTTTGGGAACTACAATCATTTTTAAAGAAAAATTGTATCAAATCCTACATCTGTTATTTTATTTAAGAATAATTCTAACAAAGTCAATGGAATAAAAATTATTTTATGCAAAGAATCCCCATGAACTGCTGTATTCATTTTTTTAAAAACGACTGACATTTCCTGAGGTACAAAATGCTAAGAAGTTTTGCATCTCTCCTGCCAGGAACTGATTCCCAACTTCCTTGAATTCAAACATCATCACAGTGGATCTTCATTAACACAACTAGCTTCCAAAAGAGAGATTGGTATTTTCCATCTCTTTCTCTCTCACCTTTGACCCTGTTCATGCTGCATAACTATTACCTGCCTTCTTAAGATAGCAATTTTCAGCAGGGTTTAGTTTGGCAAAGAGCTAAACTTTCCATTCCATTAAATCAGAGCCATGTGCCAGGTTAAAAGCAGGTTATAGAGATCTTATCACCCACATGTACTTTTAAATTTGAGCATTTCAGTTCTGTATTATTTTATATCTTCCAATGCTACACAGATACTAATCTGAACCTCCCAGTTCCATGGAGAAGACAGTTTCACAGTCCCACTTACCTACCATGATTATCATTGCATATAGATGAATGAGTAATACAGGCAAGAATAGAATACTGAAAAAAACAACAAGATTTATTCACTTTCTGTAGTTTAACTTCAAGCTTTATTTTCTCCTTACTTTTAATGAGGACTCAGAGCCTCTGATCTCTCTTTTCTGCTTACTACATGGATATTTCACTCATGGTTATTAATTTCTTAATTTTAACCTAAAGTGCCTTGTCTTCTGCTATCCTCTATTCCATTAATCTTTTATCTTTATCATATTTCTAATCCATTCACTTCAGACTTCAATTAAAGAGAATAAATGGTCTCGGTTAGAGTACAATAGAAGCAGTCTGTTTCCTTTTTAGATCAATTCCTACCCAAAGTCTAGTCAATTCTGTTTTTAATTTTTAATTGTTTCCATACTAATCAGTTAATTCCTTTTTTTCCCAATCTGTACAATGCACACACACATAACCACTTAAAGGTATTTTTCCCCAAAGTCCCAAATGATCTTATTCTAAGTGCAGATTTTAATGCTCATTTTGAGTTTAACACTATTTTCAAAATTTGAAGAATTGCAAAATCAAAACCATAAGCATATGAGATACAGACTGAATTGGTTTATTTCAAAATGCAGGCTAAACAAAATCCTTGAACATATCTGCTATTTCTGTGTTT